GTTTTTAATACCCTGCGTCTCTGGAGCACCAATATGTGCCTCAGCGGCATGCGGTATTTTATCTTTAGAGCAATCAAAAACGAAGGTAGGAAGAACAGTTCGAGTAGATTATTTTAAATGCAAATGCTGCCAAGACTAGTCAGCATTCCTTTCAAGCGGATAAATTTGAACATGGAAACTGAGAGCTTTAAACTTTTTGATACTTGACTCTTTATAACATCAGCTAGAATTTTAAATAGTGCTGTAGTAGAATTGGCAAGGAGATAAGTGTTTAAACTAAAGGGTGAGAAAGTGATTGAGAACAAACCAAGACTAGTTTTTGGTCGGGTTTATGAACCCACTTGATGCCGAACTTTTGGTAGCCTCGTAAATATATCTTAAAAGCTTGTCACTACAAATTACGAAGGTCTTTATAAAGGTGAGAAGAGATAGGGTGGACATTTGGTTGATTGAAATAAAGTGGTAGTAAAGGGAAGTGGCGTTTAGGTCGATAGGTCACTTCCTTCCGGTCAAGTCCCGCATTTTTGTACTACTAGAGAGCGTCTAGTTAACCCCAGCAAACAACGTTGGCAACTTAAGTAAAGTTGTGGGTGTCATTTTTGCGTTAACAAATGATGCTCCTCCTAGGTAAAGTACATTGGCAGTAGAAGGAAACGTGTATCATGCATCAATTTTTATTGTTTGAACACCTGTAGATGTTTATTCACTCATTAATCGGACACGCATGAATAAAAATGACCTTTATACAATAGCGATTGAGTTTTAAATAAAATCAACGAAAGGAAACGTGGCTAGGGGAAAAACAACGTTAACATTTCGTTACAAGTGGATTAACCACTATTACAGGTTAGCAAAGATTTGAGCTTAAAATGCTGAACATACGCATGCCGGTTCGGATGCTTTCACATGGTGATAAGGCAAAGGCATTGCATTGCAGTTATTCAACAGTAGTATGCATTTATCCATAACTATATTAAAATTCGAAAAGGTCAAAATCACCAGAGGTGACTCTGAAGGGAATCGTCTCCAACATCGATGGTAGAGCCGCGCACTTTGCAATCACGCTAGGGCGGATTGAAAACTCAACAAAATTTGAAAATAAAGGTATTTTTTTCCTAGCTTCTGAACAAATGAGACGCACGGAAATCCCAATGCACTCGAAAATGAGGTCAAATAATTTTAATATTGCCACTAAAATTCAAGTGTATAGTGAGATTTAATTATTCTTAGAATACTTGCAGCGCAATCGCTCCTAATTTATTCTATCAAAATCATTTAGAATTTTATTTCTTCTTTAATCATCAAAGCCCATTAAAACAGCGGTAAACACCTGCGAAGTTAACATTTTACTAGTTTAAGGAAACTTTTGCTCTGTGCCCTTCCAAAACTCAATACCACCTCATGCATTTCCGTAGGGTTTTGCGTGGGACCTTGACCATATTTATACTGATATAAGCTGTTCTAATCCCACTGCATTCTCGTTTTCATAAGATATTTTATCGGTGCAGCACTTATTAAGCATGCTATTAAAAATGCTTTCAATGCATTAAATGCGTCCCCCAAATTTGACTGTGACAATGATCCAATTTCGTGCAGAAAAGGAAGAAACTTCAGGGAAGTTTAAACGGAGCAGATGGGATGATTCAAAAATTTTATAAGCCCTTTCCTTATGACGGGGAATTTAAGTGTGTATTGCTTTTGCACCTTTTTTATAATCTAGTTGGCAAATATATAATAGTGTGAGGTGATGAGATATTGCAAAATAGGGCAACGCGTTTCGAGTCAAATATTCATTCTTTTTTTTTCGAGTTTTTGGAAAAATTGTAATCACGGGCTACTGACAAAGCATTACAAGGAACTCGCTTCTCCCACTGGGTACCACTTTTTCTTGAATCACTTTCTCAGATGTGTAAGTAACTGGTAAGAAGCACAAGTAACATTTAAAGTACTAGTTAAGGTGAAGTGTCCTTTTTCCAACTCACAAGACTCAACAAAAGTGAATCATGTGACTAAATTTCATTGTAAACTTAGTAAACACGAAATGCGCCTACAAAATATTGCTGTATTCCATTGATACCTTTAGGTCTCAGGTAAAAAGATACTCCACTATGAGGAAATAGAAGAGATTAAGTCTAATAAAAAAATAGTATTGTTATTATTCAGTGGGACATTATGGGGTTTGCAATGGAACAACTTAATGGAAATTCATAGTCGTGATGCAATTTTATCAAAAAATGCTGTTGATATTCAAAATATTACCCCTTTGCCCGGGAGTAACATTATCGAAATAAGCCCTTAAACTCAACTTCGTTTAAAAATTAATACTCAAAGTTACATGTGCATTTACGGTCGCGCTGAGAAAGTGGGCGACGATGTTAGCTATCTATAACGTTTAAGATGCAGTGAATCTTGCTTCAGATTTTTTCAAATGAAGTAGAAACCCAACCATGAAACGAGGGAATTGACCTGATTTGGTAAAGTAAGAAGTAACTCGTCTGTTATACATTTTATTAACCAGCAGCGGGTATATGAATAATAAAACTAACTGTTTCCCCGCATGAAGTAAAGGCCTCAAATTGCCTTCTGATCAAAGAAAAATGAGGTTGGTGGAATTAGAATTCAACAGATATTCTTAGGCTGCATTGCTTTTGTGCATTCACACATCTGTTTATGTGGACACTTCCTTTTGGAATTATTCCTACGTGAATATTACCATCCTCCATCTCTGTCAACCCTTGCCTACTTTCTACGAAATCGAACACTTTTAGGTCTGTTAAAGATGTGTGCCAACTGCTGAAACAGATTATTTCCAATTTACTTTTAATCGTGATTTCTAATTACAATGAATAAATTCAAACCCTTCACGAGGCATGTTGCCCAATGATTTGCTTTTGCGACAAGTATTTGTGCTTAAGTGTGAATGATTGTGGACGATGGCAGAATTAAGATGTTAAATGTATTACACCCTAAGTAAGCATGCATGTGTTCTACATTGAACAGATTTAAGTAGCAGGATTAAGTTGAGGAAATTTCAGAAAACAAAAGATGCTTTGTAAAAACTGGGCACAAGGTAAATGAATACTAGCATTCCTTAAATTGGGTATAGTTCTGCTATAAATTGCCAAACAATTAGGGGTAAGTTAATGAGAGGATACTACATCTGTTAGCTCAATATAAGCCTAATAAATATGAACGACTATCTTTTGCATTCTTTAAGAATCTTCTGAAGAATTTAATATATGAGGTAACAATGTGAAATGCAATGTACAGTTTGCAATGCATACTAATTACGAGATTTACAACTAATCTGGTAGACAAAATTTATCACAGCAAAGAAAATCATCTAGTTATAGAGCATGAAGTAACTATGAAAGCTGATAATATAACCAACTCTGTTGTACAGTAGACAGAGTTGTCTCCGTGATGGAATAAGATGTTGCCCGTTCACCCGAGGTATCGCCAATTCAATGACCACAGCGCGGATAGTTGTCGTGCATTCTGCCCTCTGTACAATCCTGCAAAAGGGATTGCAGTGGCAACCGCCACTCCGCCACATCTGCTCTCTAAGTGTACGCACGCGTGTTGACAGTGGGGATAAGATCAACAGGACTCAGGGAATAGCCAACCGAATGCCAGTCCTCATACCTGTGCATAAGCCCTGCCTACCCCACATGAACGTAACACCTGCACATGAGTACGCCTTGACTAAATCACACCTTTACGGAGTAGCCCTTTATGAAGTTAAAATTGCCATCATGTCCGCCGCTACTGACCCCCAGCCATCACAGCGCGAAGGGAATTGTGGCATTTTTGAGACGACGAATTTTAATAATGTGTAACGGTACCACGCAGGTTCTCATGTCATTTAGAAGTGACAAAAAATAGGGGAAAAATAAGTCACTGCATTCACCTACTTTATTAGATACATGGCGGCTGACCCCCATAGTGTCCATAGCAAGTTTCTGCAGAACTCAACCTTTCTTAATTGCCTTCTCGAATTAAATTTTAGTGTTGTCAAGCGAACCGTGTTACGGTGAAAGGAGAATATGCGTTATTAGATTTAATTTCGTAAGCGAATGGTTTATGCAAATGACCTTGAAATGGTTTGTGGGGGTATTTGAAAGCTTGCTCTGCACTCATAATTAACGACAACTGATGCCGACTTTATTGCACTACCAATGTAAAAAATTTCGTTGTCGATTTCGGTTAGGAAAGAATCTTTGCCGGGTTACGGCGAATCCCATCAAACAAAAAAGGACATAGATAAAATCCGACTATTTATTTGCTTCGACACATCCACTGCAGTTGAGGTATTGTAGGTAGCTGTAATATTCTAAAAAGAAGAGAGAATAAACAACTTCTCCTAAATTAGGATGATGACAAAGGCAATAGTAGACCGCACATGGTCTATAAGTTGGGCAAATAAATATGCAATATGTAAATCTCTACCTAAGTTACGGTTTTAAAAATTACTTTCCTTATTCTTCAGCCTCAAAATGGGTGAGCTGCGTGTTTTAAGGCTTGATCGTGTTTGATCTTAGGCATTAAAGTTAGGGCAAAGTGTTTATTCCAATTATGATCGAAAACCTCAGCAATTTACAACTTGATGGGATTTCAAAGGGGTATTAAACCACCAATATGGTATCTTCGTTTCTTAATGAAACCCTTCAAAATGTGTTAACATAAACAGTTAAATATTCCCCCTCTTGCATGTGCTACATTTTGAATTTACACTCTTTTCCTTGATTAAATTCTTTAGTCTGGATGGCACTATAAACAGAAGAATCAAGCTATTGTGTTACTGCCTTATGGATAGACCGTGCCTACCATCATTTGCCAGCACCTAAAAGTTGCAGCCACAACAACTGGTTCGTCCGCAGTTGTAGAGACGAGGGCCGCATCCCACTTGGATGCCACAACCACATCCGCAGCTTGGACGACAACAGCAGCAAGATGCACAGCAGGGACTGCAAACACATCTAAAGGACACAATTTCACAGGGGTTATGCCAGAGGACTAAACCGACTCACTTTAATTCGTTCACTGAAAGTAAATGGAACTAATTAAGACAGAAATAGCAGAGTCAACTAGTCTTTGCGATAAGTGCATAAATGACATAGCCAAGTTTAAAATCACACTTTGGTGCTAATGCTCCAATTTGATTTTACTGATGGAGGCTATTACATTTATTAATCATGCGTGACTATATATAATCCAAACTAATGAATGTTAGGGAGGAGTATGGGTCAAAACCGGGACATTAACTTCAAATCCAAATAATCATTGTGAATGAATTTAAAAATTTACTCACCCTCCTCCATGGGAACCACATCCGCAACTACCGCAATGGTCATAACCGCAGCCACACCCCCCCATACCATAGCCACTGCCGCAACAGCCATTAGGGCCGCAATAACCTGAGGGACTGCAACAACACCCAGGACTAAAAAATAAGCGGCGATTATATTAAAAATGAGTTCCTGATCCCGGGCCATGGGATCAGCAGCACCCGATTCATCACGTTGTGCCAAAATCATAAAATCAGAGGAGGAGTCGTGCTGTGTTTACAATAATACTAGAGAACAAGCACTATGTTAAGACACTAGATTTAATTAATATGGAATAACAACCTGTTTCTTTTACTGCCCTACTAGTAAAACGTAGGTGGATTAAAGGGTATGCTTTAAAGAGGATGAAATCACTAAATTGGTGGAAATTCCAAAAAAACACTACAATTTAAGGGCTTTTCATTGTCACTGGTTGGAAGAAATTTTTGTCGTATCTGTTGACAATTTAAACATGCTTTGCGGTTAAAATTGTACCGAATAAAGACTTTCGTTAATGCTGCATTTTGCGAATCAACAATTTAAAAAATCCGAACTCTCGGGGTGCGTGTTTGTCCCAAAATACGGCGTGTAAGCAATTGGGTAAAATTAATAGCAGAAGTTGAGGATTGCAAGACCAATCGTGGAGAACATGAGCACAGGCAGGTCAAAAACAAGTGGAGAGGATTGATTGTACTCACCACATTATGGAGGTACTTGAAGCGGATTTGTGACGGAGGCCTGAAAAGCTCAGCTTTAAATACCCTATGAACGTCGCAATTCGAGTCTACCTTGAGGTCAGTAAGGTGATGACGATGTTACCGCCGCATTAGATTGCATTCTAAAAGCCACGCAGTTAGAGTGAGCCGTTACTATCCTTAAATGCACTTTACACTTTCGTTACTGCTTCAAAAATGATTGTCAAAGAAGTGTGTTTATATTTGCAATAATTATGTTTGTGTCAGTCTTATTAAGGCATCATAAGTCGAAGGCAAATTTAGAATCGCCTGATAAATTAATCAAGTCTCCTTACCCAATAGATGGGTCATGTTTTTCCAGATACAATTTTATATAACCGTGATCTTCCCTGCCAAATTGGGTCAAAGTGATTAACAGTATGAATGAGTAAAGTTACAAGATCTTTCATTCTCCCACAAATTTTATTCGTCACATTTTATCATCTTTGAAACTTCACTTGCTTAAACCATTAATACATTTTACAATCACACCCTTTTATTTATGTGCTTCTTTAGACCAGAGACATGTGTTATTCGGGAAACCAATCTCTAGCGTGTAGTTTCAAGTCTTAAATGACATAACAGTCATGTGAAAAGCTGAAACTTAACTAGGGATAACATAGCATACAAAGAAAAACCTAAGCAATGGAAGATTTGCAGCACCTAAGATGTCATCTTCTACTATGTGATGGCTGTTTGGCCTTCGGAGCTTTTCATAAAGGTTTAGGCAATACTACAAGTTTGAGTTATGGTAAAAATCAAATTTACGTAAATCACTGCATTAAAAACATCAAAATAAGGAATGGTAGTTGGGGGGGTACCTTTGGGTTGGAGAAAAAAAATCGCAAAACACCACAACTTTCTTATATTGCTGTGAATGCTTATTTCGGGGCGTTCCAGCCTGTTAAGCACTCAGTAATCATATCGGACATAGTAATATTTTTCTACTTATAAGGATTTAGAAAAGCACGACACAAATTGTTGGTGTTTGAAGTGAACACCGAAATCCGGATGTCATAAGCAAAGTCCCATCTATGATGCAACAGATTCAAGCTCTCTTAAAAATTCTAATGCAGTACACCCAAAGATTGCCAGACAACATTAAGATTCCAGGTTTTCATCGTTCTTGAACTTGTCCCCTTTCAAGGCTAAGTATGGATGGTATCTTTAAAGACCCTACATGTTTTTCCATTACTTACCCTAATTTAGCTGGATCAAGTAATTTAAGAGTATTTTAACTGAAACAGACTTGCGAGGAATTCAAAATAGTGTAATATTTCTTAATTATATTGTAAAAATGGCCATAAAATCTCCATGACAAGCTGTATTAGTGACCAGAATTAACTTGAAACAAACTAGCTTTTAACTCAAATGGGACAAAGCCTCTATATTTATCATATCATTATTAGTCGTAAAAAGAAAATGGATGGTTAGATTAAAAGTAACTTGCTTTTTTATTTGGTGCTCAGTTTGGATAGCAGAAGGTTAGGCACAAGTAAAATTAGACCTTTTGAAATTTGTGGTTTGGATCACGAATGCATAACTACGCAAGATGATTTTCTACGCAAAAGAACCAGATTTCACCAGAATTTTATTTAATTACGGTTTCAAAATGGAGACACCAGAAATGCTGCATCGCATTTCTCAAATCTCCTCCATGTCTTGCAACGTCCTACTTCAAAATGTGCGCACATTATGTTCTACACCTTACAACTACACTCATATTTAAAAATGTCCTTCAAAGTTAGTTTTAATGATTTGGTGAGGATTGTTAAGATCACTGTTTAAGAGATTAACTTTGCATCTAATTTGGTTAACGTTTCCTGCTAAGGTTGCTGATATAGTTACGCATATTGCATGTAATTGCAATGAAGAGAATGATGAATATTATGATTAAAAGCAGATAGTCAAATAGAAAATTCCTCTAAAATAGCTGTGCAAACGTTAATAGTGTAGCTTTTGAGGTATTGTAAGAAGGTGAGGCTGGAAAGGGGAATACATTATTTAGGAATAAGTGCGATTTGTCTTCATTTTCATGCCTAAAAGTATTTCTGGGTGGAAAAAATGGCGTCTCAGTTATTACGATAGAAGTTACAAAACCAAAGTAAAATGTGGAAATTGCATGTTATTTCTTGTTTCAGAATTCCTCTTGGCAGGTATTTATCACGCATTTGCTTGACTAAATCTCTTGGATGCCAAGCGGCCATGTTAAATCAACTTCCTTACCGAGAATGCGTCATCGATCCCTAAGACGCAACATATTCTTATCCCACCATAGAAATTTAAATGGTTGTGAAATTTAACATCGCTACAATAAGTGATGTCTTTCTCCAACCAATCTCCTCAATCCAGGAGTCTGAAACAGCGAAAATATGACAGGTGCATTTGTCGCATTTACTGAATCAAACTTGGGCTGAATATTATTTTACGATTAAAAAACTTGTGCTTGCTTATGGGCCTTTAAACAATGTGGAGCGGCATTTGCTTTTTTAGCCAACTATGCTTCCATAGTCGTGGTCGGCAAAATTATGTTTACTTATCGGATTAAGCAACTCCTACGCATTCCCTGCGCCTTTTCAATTAACAACAGTATTTGCCAAATAATGGCTTCTGTAATTATCTTTAGATCTCTCCAAGCTCTAAACCGCTTAATCAGGCTTTCGTTTTTGAGGCCTAGAATAGCTAGCCGCATTGCTTATGACAAATCATGCATCAAGATTGATTACAGTGCATAATTTTCAAATAAATGCCGAAATTAGCTATGCTTCACTATCTTGTTGGATTAAGGGTATCAATGTCACTCATTCATATCTTGTCCCATCTCGGCGGAGTGAGTATCAAGAGGAAAGGATGTCTTAAGGTCTGCTTATTTGCAAACTCATGTCCAAACGGTGTGGAAATCAAGTTAAAATATTACTAACAACTAGCTTAAATAGCACATTTATCCTGAAGTTTTCTGCGATTTCAACCACATACGTAGCAGGCTTTCTTTACGTACTTCTTAATTGCTGGATTTTGAGCAAAGGTGAGGGGTTATTATCATACAATGTCTCATCCCTTAGGAATGGCTGATTTAGGAGTCTTATTGTATGATAAACTCTTAATAAACACTTTTTTGTGAGGCCTAAAATAAGTCAGCATCTTTATTACGCATGTTTCCCACAATTCTACAAGAAAAATGGGAGGCGAGAAGAGTTTATTTTTAACATGTCGGGAATGTGAAAGCAAACATAAAGCTCTTAAGGCAAAAGTTCATCGTATGACGAAAGAAAATAACACTGACTTGATGTCTACTTTGTGTAGGAAAACAATCCAAGGTAATAGGTAAAACACCTTCTAATGTAATACCAAAATAAATATATGCTTCTAGAAATCGTCGACAAAGTGTAGTTTGTGGAAGAGCAAATGACACAAATTCTTGTTTGTGATTTAACAAGAAAATGTATGCCTGCAATAGGCAAGGTGCATTTGAAACACTTTGAAAGATATCACTACCACTGAAGAAAAAGACCTCAGAAAGTCGAAAAAATTTGTTTCGGATTATTATACTATATTTCATCGGTTATCAAACACGAGTTTTGCGTAAAATGAGGCAATCATTGTTTCGTTAGTATTTATTTACGGTGAGAAGATATTGCAATATGGAATAAAATTTATGCCATAAAATAGAACGCAAATGAAGGCTTAATAAAACGAAAGGTGTAAGTATATGTAAGCATATATGTTACAAATATTTATTTTAGTGAGTTCTCTTCTCGCACAAATTCTTTTACCAATCGGATGCACTTCGTCAGCGTCCGCCCCACAGCGCCAACGAAACATCACTAGAGAAAATTTAGCCATAGAAGCTCCAACACGAGTGGCACGAGCTAGGTTTATGCTCGGCTACTAGTCAGCCCTCAATTAGCTTGTCTAAAGCACTTCAAAATGCTTCCATAAGTCACGCAATTTTATTTAACACTTTAGTGAGTTCTTTTGTTGGCATTCTCGTAGTCCCTTCTTTGAATATTTGATTTTCCATTATTAATCAGGCTAACTACTAGAGTTCTGGTAAGTTGGATTAAAGTCGTGAGGAATTAACTAAGACCTTATTTCCAAAACACATCTATCACATTTTTTAAAGATGTATCTATCAGTAATGCTAGAAATACAAGGAAACATCTATCAAAATCATTAGCATGTGCGTTTTGGAAACTCTTGGTTTTTTACTTTCCAAACTTCCGCAAATTCGCAGAAATCGAGGTGCATCTTTAGATAATCGCGGGTGTAACCTTCAAATAAAATCAGGGATTTCATGCATAATATGTCAGAGAGAATAGTTGTAGGATAGTTACCAAACAACTAACACAAAGCAGTGCAGTGGTCGATTGAGAGTTGCACTTGAGGAACTTATGTAGTGGTTACTGGAAAGAGTTTATTGCGCAGGGTTCTGACTAGCCTGATGACTGACTTCTTTGACATCTGGGAAAATTTCAAGACTTGCAAAACGATCAGAGACCGTTTGGTAGGCATACAATCCCCTTAGATACCAATGCTTACAAAATCTGTGCTTTATGGAAAATAGTGAACTACACAATGCCATCAAAGGAGTGGTATGCTAGTGGTACCGGTAAGTGCAAGTGAATTCGTAGTCTCCTAACTTATTACAAAGCATTAATCCGACCTCCAACTGATTTTCCATCAAGAGATTTAAACGGCATCCATAAAGTCTTTAAAATACCTATTCTATTTTTAACAGTGAAAGCATTATACTTGTTCGCAAAAAGCGGTCCTGCAACATGAGAAAAGTTGGCGTGGAGTTTATAAACGAACAATTAATTGGGATACCTAAAGTAGACATTTATTTAATGTAAATTTAGGACCAATACAAGCCACATACTTGTGCTGCAATGGATTGCTTTTAAAGGATTTTTCCATTTTTTTTAAATTGTAATAAAGAATTCGCTGCAAAAACATTGAAGGAAGAACTTCCAAATACAAAGGTATCCATATTCTACGGTGCTACTTTCTGGGGTGATATTAGACCGCTACTCCGTTTTGCATGCATTGCCTTCTTGAGGATGCCGAATGTTCTACTTAATAGCAACACGCGTAAGTCTCAAATAACTAAAAATCTAATGCAAAATAGATTCCTTAATACGGATATTTCATACAAAATGAAGTGATACATCCTATCCCATGGTTTAAAACTGCAGTGTAAATGATCTAACTTGGCCAAGAATAGGACCAACGATACCCACAAAATCAATGAGCTGTTGTACGCAGAAAATGAGAGCAATGCTTTTAAAAGTAGAGAAAAGCGCATTTCCTTGTCAAAAAGAGCTGACTTTGGAATATTACCATACAATCAATTAAAGTAACTAACTTCATTTTCACGTTAAATAATAGTTTGGGACTGCCAGGTAATTTATATAAACTTTGAATTAGGTGCTTTGAATATGTATTTGAGATTTTCGGTGATGACTACTTCCTCCATGACATATTTTTGGAAGTTTTTATTCAATATCTACCTGGACCAAGCTCGCTTTGTGAAGAACAGTCACCATCTAGCTTGCAGATGAGACTGAACGAGATTTGCAGTTTTTTATCTCATAAAGTGGTGCACTTACTTTATTGCCACAAAACATTAGCTTATAAGTGCCGATCACGTGTACTTTAGTCTTCTAAATGCATAACCATGTTATTTGTTCACAAGATTTCCCATACTAAAGGGGATGGGGACTGAGCATTAGCATACTAGCCGTATTTTGGCACTCTTCATCAGGATATCAGGCGCTTGGCTGAACTCCGTTTGAACAACAATGAATTCCGCGAAATTATCCCTAATCATGTGCCACTCTGGATTATTTACTCAATTCCGGTTTTTATACGGATCATAATTAGAGATTAGGAGAATTTTTGTGTAGTTTTAAAGTGAAGTAATCATACTGAACTCATAACGGAAGTACACTACTAGGAACAAACATGTGAGGAACACAGACGTCAGATATAACCACTAAAAATTAGTACTTTTCAGCGTTTTCTGTAAAGGGGAATTTGTTGAGCTTATTGGTGTCATCAGGACACGCACTGCAGTTATTCACTTGAAATCTCTTTGGAAAGCATTAAACTCTTTTGCGAAACCACTATACTTGAAAATGTACTTATATGCATAAAAAGAATTAAATTGCCATACGTTACCGTACGGAATGGGTTTGCAAAAACATGTGTCCAAAATATACGCGGCTAACGAACAAAGTGCTACGACCAAACAATGGCATAAAGGATTTTATTTCGACTACAGAGAGGCTTGGTGATGACTACTTTAGATAAGTTACAACAAAATGTAGACGGTGAAAACCTAATAATAAGGGGAATAATAGTAACACAGCATAAAATTCTTTATTAGCAAATGAGATATGGAATGTAGGTAGCCTAGCGACGTGGATGAAAGGCTAACTTGGCAAAACAGGAACCACATCATATAAAATATTTTAATTATTTTCTGAGGAGGAAATGTGGGAGTAAAACAAAAATTACTAGAATTACGGATTGATCTTTACTTCGTCAGACTACGACCTAAAACTGAAAATATTGACTTTTATTTGTACATTCAGCCAGTGGTTCAACAAAGTCCAGATATCCCTCCAATTACCAACCGGTCAAGAGCCAGCCAATCAGAAAGTCAGATGTTGGAGTACCTAAGCAGGCCACCAAAAATCCCTTATTTACTCATTAAGTAATGTGTCTTTCAGGTAGTTTATGCTGGCTACCTTTCTCCTGCTGGTATAGTCCCTAAATAATGCAGAATGAATATCCGTCAACCACTCGATCACCGATAAATTTTAGTACGTACGAGGTCTGTTCCGACGATTTGTATCCCACTTTAGCTGCTTTCAGTTCTGCATATCACCAGATTCATGTCTTCTTGTCCTTGATTCTATGCATTTGCGGAATCTGCCTCAACGCCTTAAATGTGGTTGTGCTATGTCAGAAGCACATGCGCAGCTCGAACAGCTTGCTTCTTTCGAGCCTGGCTATATCTGACGGCATGGTGATGGTTATTTACATAATCTACGATCTAGGATTTCGACTGGTGGCTCGATTGGAGAATGGCATGACTAAGGAATATGCTCACCTTCTACTGGTATGCATCGTAGGACAAAACTTGTTTCACACATTTTCTACATGGATAATCGTCGTACTTGCCGCATATCGCCTTCTCTACATACACGCAGGGCCTCAGGCAAGAGTTGTGTGCGCTCCTCTGCGTGTTTGGCTCGCCATCGCCATGGTCGCATTCATATCCATGGTTCTTGCTATTCCTCTTGTCTTTGCTCATGAGGTGACTCATTACCGAAAGCCAAACTGTGAAGATTTAAAGCTATACGAAGTGGATTATGTGGATAACACTGTCCTTCAGACAATTCTCTTTTACAATTCTGCTCTCCTGGTTAAAGCTATTCCAATTCTCCTTATGTGGATTTTGAGCATCATACTGATAAAGAAGATCCGTAAAACCCAAACGGTCCGACGGAGACTTTTGCCACTAGAAACTTTGCGATCGTCAACCACGCTGTCTGAACCCACTACAGGCTGTACTGTCGAGGATCATAAAATTCAGAAGCTTCGGTGGTTCTTCTTTAAGTCCTGTGGTCGTTTTGATAGCTATCGACAATCTACTCAGCCTACGAAAATGCTTCTAGCAGTAGCGCTAATGTATATACTTACCTATCTACCCCAGGTACGACAAAACTCCATAAGTTTCAAACCTCTTAAAGCATGTTTTATTACTAAATTCTTTTCAGGAATGCGTAAAATGACGTACTTTGATTGAGGTTCAAATTGATAAAAAAGACTCCGTCTAAAGCGCTGTTAATCATTCAAATTCTCAAGCACTTTGCCACAATTTCTTAAATGGCCAAGTTTTATAGATGATCAAATTACATTTTTTATCTGATTCTTAAGTGATGAAATATGGTTTCCTAGATTGTTGATTTATGATCAGATGTTTAGAAAAATCGTCATTCAAATACAAAGCCTGATTCAAGTTTATGGCAATTGGTCTGGATTTTTGAACACTAATAAGCATAAATAAATATTTACCTATACATTTCTACCGTACAGTTTGTGTGAGTATTAAAAAATCCTCATTATCTACAGAAATTAATGATATAATCAAAACTTTTCATTTATGTAGTGTTATTGCTATTTTACGACCCAACGCTTCAAACTTTGCTCCCAAATCGGTAAAGCCATCTTTAATTTTCGTTATAACGGGGTTTAGATATATTTCTAGTGGTAATCTAATTCGCTTTTTATTTTAAAGCACTCAGACAAAGGAAAGCTTTTCCGGGTCTGTGCTTTTTGCTTTTCGTCTCTAAAGTGTATTCTTCACCACTCTGCAATATTTAGTTGACTAGAGAACAGACATTGACAATAAAAGACTGGCATCACAACTAAAATCCCATATTCTAATTAAGAGTATCAGCACTTCTAGCATTAAATCGGCAAATATTTTAGGCCCTTAGTGCTAGTTATGACTACATGCATTACTGAGTTATGCTTTTGCGTTTGAGCATCAAAGTAAAGCGACAGCTCTTTTGTAAGCTCCTCGGTCATAACATGCGCCTGCTATTCAATAACGGATCCAAGTCACCACGAGGCGCGTGTGCATTTTCTCTAACAACGGACTGTACAAACCAGCGGAAAGATATTTTTCACCTGACCATCGTACAATCCTTAACCAATAATGAAAAATCAAAAGGATCTTAAAATTTGCTTAATTAAATGCCATTCCAGTCACAAATTATAAGGCGAATTGGAAGTAAAAATTAGCTGAATCCAACTGAGCAAAGTCAATGACTAGCTATTCAGCAGGGAACAAAGTATAATCCCAATGCTACGATAATATTTTATTTATAGAAGTGCTCCAACTAGTTCAGTTGAAACGATGGGGGCAGATGTTTTAGTGCCTCATAAATTATTAAAATCCATTCCAGTTTAAGTGCACCGACTGAACCTCTGAAGAGGGTTTCTGTTAATGGTTTGCTTCCCCCAGAAGTAAAAACGTGTAAGCATGATATCGATGGTCTCATCTTATTCTAAATCTTATTATAATAAGTACGTTACTGCTGTGTTGAGGAATAAATTTAAGAAGCGTGAAATATCTAAGAAAATATGAATGCAGCAGAGTGTGGTCAAAAGCTTTATGCATTACTATAGCAAGCAGAATTTGCCTTTATACGAAACGTGAATTTCCCTCTGATGTACCTTAAAAATGATTAATATCTAGCCCAAACTTTGAATGATTCTCGAAATTCATTTCAGCAGGGTGAAGCCTTATTGACAAGTCACCGCAAATCAACGTCCACACTTTGGTGAGGAAAGCTTATGTATGGACTAAATAATAACAGTTGTATGGATTTGATTAACGGCTCTGATCGCAACATTGAACCAGATTTGTACATTCAAACCTTATTTTTATTCTAACATATACATCACTTCGGTCTAGCAATTATACAGCTAAAGTTTTGTAGGAAGTGCTTTAATTTAAACAGCACCTCTAAATATTAAAGTCAATGCTATTCGGGTGCTTGAGAGTTTTTCCACGTGTGTATCAATTCCGCAAAACCCGTATTTCTACAGCTTGTTTTGGGAATTATACTTTATTAGAAATGAGTAAATAGTGCAGGAACTCTGGATGTATACCACCATCAGACTCCACTTATGCATTAATGTGAAGCCAAAGAGCGAGCGTGGATTGATAAAATAATGAGGTAATTTTCTCTGCTTCTGCAGGGACTTATATTCCAATGCCACGCAATGATTTAGGCATGTAAATCATGATGACTGTTTGTAGAATTTTTTAAGTTTGCATCATAATTGCTAATTACTAAGCTTTAATTGGTTTTAGTTGATTTTGATGCGAAAAGGTAGGATTTGAAAGGGAAATATGGGTCGTAAGTGGAATGTAAAGGGTAGTATTGCTTTCCCCACGAATTCTCACTACGATCGGGCATGCGTCGAAACTCTACTTTACGTGATTGCTTTTCCACTCTAAATAATGTATTTCCTTTGAACTGAATAGCCAACTATTAGAATAGCAAATTTAATCCCATTTTCTAGTATTGACTGCCAAAATAAATGGTGCAATTATAGGATTTCAAGCAGAGACTAGTGCCTAAATGAAAACAACATCTCTTTGAAGTCGAAAGCGGAAAACAAAAAAAAGCCACTTCGGTTTAGCGTCCTTCAAGGATTTTTCCTCATTAAACCGGAAATTCCTGCTAATTTTGAGCAATAGTCTGCTCAGTTATTTAATTTTAAAGCATATTTAAATGCACTTTAATTACATTGAAACTAAGCCTTTGAGTTACTAGTGGTAAAGCATTTACAATCTGCCCGATTAAATTTCACCAGTCCATCGGTCATTGATGTCGTCAACTTCTTACTATACGATATTAAATATACAAAATCTTGCCTGGTTTTTCAGGTATTTTATATTTCTTACTAAGAGCCTTAATTTAACAAAATTTTTTTCTTTCAAAAAAGTAATTTTGATTTTACATTGTCACGGTTTTTTTATGTGGCTAAAATCACTCCTCTGACCATTCTATCAGAAACATGTGCTGTAGAAATGCAAACCGAGGAGAGCCACATTCATATACACTGTGAAAAATAGAAAAACATGACAGTAGAGACCTTGATATCAGGGATTTAATTCATAGTGTTTGCTGTTCAACACTTGAAAGATATTTATCTGTATTATGCAATAAGGAACTACAACGAAAGTTCTTGGTGCTGCTTATTTAAAACGCGAAATATAAATGAACAAAGTAGTATTGTAAATAATCCCAGTTTTTTTGTCAACATAAAGCTTTGAACAAAAACAATTGGTTTCTTAACAAAAAAGTTCAAAATGTGCAAATGCTTGTGAAAAGCGTTATAGCGAAATTGTGTTAAAGAATCATTAATTACATTGCAGCTCTCACCACGAATATGATAAGTGCTATTTTCGGATATTCTTGTTCAAGTATAAGGCAATGTAACACTCGCGTGATCTCGCCCATGTAGCATGAATTTAAAGCCTTGAAGGTAACCGGAAATTTCTAATGTTTCGGCTAGAATAAAACTCCCTGAATCATCTTTTGTTTAGTAGTCAAACTTTGTGGCTGTAGCTTTCAACCATTCATTTTACTTTTTGAATCGGGTGTAACTTTCTTATACCCACAGCACAGTTTTACACGCATATATTAATCACTACTGACTTTATGGAAGACAATTATTGGCACACCGAACTAGTCGCCTCCTTAACATACTGAAGCAGGGTCCGATTAAGGTGCCAGTTTTTAATGGAACATAAACCATGGTATTGGCAGTAAAACAGTAACATCATATTTTTTAGTGTGCATCGCTATCGCTGGGGTGTCCTTATTGTAAGAGGGACCAGTGTTTTGGCAAAAACCAAACACGCCTCACGGTAGACTACAAACAACAATGAGCGAGTATAAAATCTACCCATTAGTTTTCCCCAATTTTTAGCATTGATACATAGACCAAAATCTAGTCCTTATAATTTTGAAATATTACAAAATGGAAGCGGCTTTCTAAGTAATCATTGAAGAAATATGTTATAATCACCTCATTAAAATGGGAAGAATTCGTACCCCGAGAGCTATTAATAGTGGCTAAAGATCTTAGTTCGATGACATCAATGAAGAATCTTTTACGCAAATAACGAAGATTTGGTAATTGGAGAGAATATAGAAGTTGCAGGTCTCCCTTGTACTTTTCAGTCTGTAATGCTGATCCTCAACCGCTACATGGGCCGGTGCTTTCAAGTGCAGGTATACGAGCGACTGGGTGATATGATGGACCTTATGACCCTGAGCAACAACGGCATAACTTTTGTCATCTATTGCGCCATGTCCACGCAATTTCGACACACATTCATGACTCTCCTCGCCTCTGGCAGAAGAATGCTGAGCCATGTCTAATCGTCCTCTCCCCACAACCTGTTCCGACATTCCTCCTCATGTTAAGTCCTTCGCTTTCGAGAAATATATATTTACAGTATTTTGCTACAAATACGTGTGTTTTGAAATCATTGACACTTCAGTGGTTCCTGCCTTCAGTTGTTTTGATTAGTAAGAAGAAAATGTTGCACATCTTCAAAATCAGGTAAGTAATTACGGAAAAATGAGCTACCGCAGAAAAACTGTTGGTCGAGTAGCATTTTTTTCACATGAAACTCCCCTTAAAAAGGATGGCATGTCTTGAATTAGGGCCGGTTCCACATATTTATCAGATCACCATCACGCGACGGCTGATGCAAATAAAAGTCGTGCTAAGGTCTTTTCCCCATAAACGCTTACACAGTCCATTGCGAAAAATTCCCATTTTGCTTAACAAATTGAATAAATGACGAATTAATATGTGTAATAAAGTAATTTAACACTATTCTTTCAATTTCTGACAAAATTGTATTCGTCAAACAGAAGTAGGAGCTATCTTTTGACCCTTTAACGGTAATTTTATAAATGACCCTGCTCAAAGGCAATGATAAGATAGGATAGAATTTTGTTAAGTGGACCTTTACCTCAAAAGTTTACAGAGCGGCTAAAACTCTGTCCATGTCTTGTAGAGGCGATAGTTGTTAAGTGTTTAATCCAGATAAGGCCTTAGTAACGTATGGTTTCGCAATTTAGTATCAAGTAAACTGCACATATTGCACCTTCAAATTAATGAGCATAATTGGTTGTTGAGGTCTTCTTAAGGCTCCAAGACGTCGCTAAATAATGTTACCAGCTGGGAATAAATATTTTTTAAAAATAACACATTTTGAATTATAGATCGAAAAGCCAAAAAATCTTTTAGCCCAAGCCCGACTGCTTCATATTGTACGATTATGACTTGGATAACAAGTTTTGGGAATTGGATACACTTAATATCAGCTTATTTGCCACTAATCCAGCTAATTTCTTCAGTTTTTATTATCACAAATAAACACCTTAGTGTTGTTATGAACTGCTGCAAATATTCCTATAAAAGAAGAGTTGAAGTTTGTATTAGCAAAATTGTTTATTCCAAACTTGTCTAACTTAACTCCACTACACCTTTGCAAGCATTGTTTAAATTAAATGCAAACTTGAAGTCCGTTTATGGGAAAAATATTTAGGTAGTCTATGGGAAACTACTTCATTGGATTTACCATTAAAAAGAGAGACATTTATCAAAGAAATGTCAGCCTTATCGCTGCTCCATGCAAAGCAATTACGGAGCTTTCGACTGTTAAGCACAACAATTAGCACACCAACTTCGAAGCGTCTTGTTAACTTGTGATCCTTATAAGTTGTTTTGCATCTATTTAGATGAGCTGTAAAAACGGCACAAATGACTTAGCCACTGCTCTTTTTCGAGACTAAATGGAAGGAAGAAAAATTTACTGTAAGACTGCGGTTTTTATTGCAGAGATGATCTACTCCACTTTCCGCACGCCTTTCACGATATCGTCAAGTTTTCCCCTCATTAATGTGTTGACATGTGAATCCGTACCGGTAAAGTAGTTTAAAAAGATCTCTTAGACATATTCACCACATTAAATTTAAAACGTGTTCAGAAGGGGCCTACTCAGAGCTCAGCCGATCACTTCAAATGCTTTCTTAAACGCATTTGTATATTCTTAATAATACCGTCATTTGATGGGACTTAGTCATTAAGCCTTTGGGAGTACGTTAACTTTAACAATCTTAAAGTCATTACAGATTATTGAGGGCAAATCTTGCAATCACTAGGCTAAGACTCAAATGCTTCACGCAAATCCCATCGACACTTTTAAAATGCATAAGTCTTTAGTATTTTATGCACGAAATGCGCATGAATCGCGACTTCTAACCATCCAAGTGGTACACAATGCAACTAGTCCATTTTTCGTAGTCCGTTTCCGAAAAACTGATAAATTTGAATCAACTGCGCTATAGACGTTTGACGTTTACAGCATTTTTTCTTAGAAACTTGATTAGTTTATGGTAAATTTGTCAAAGAATAAAACAGTTAACTTACAAAATGCCAGGCAATTTAAGGTTCTCTTTTGGAATATGTATAATTACTTAAATTCATCTTGATCTACGGTCATAATAGGTTGTATTCCCTTAGATTCCTGTACTTTGGTAAAGTGGCGTGCACATCGACACAGATCTCATTGCAGGAGAGGCCGTTTAATCAATGTATTTTATTAGGCTGTACCCATTCCTGCATAAAGCGAGCTTACAAACGTTACCAACCAACCAATTTCCACTGAATTTGAAGTCTTTCTTATACAAATTAGGTCAATAAAAATAATATCAAAACCAATTATTCCGACTACTCAGCCCTTTTTCCTGAAGTCAAAAATTTTGATCTATTTGATAGGTAACTCGTCAAGACCACAGAGGTACGAGCGTTTCATGTATCACCCTAGTTTTAATCCATCAACTTGACAAACGATTTCTTTTTTATGCAATAGGAAGTCTCCACTTTAAGAAAAAATATTTTCGTCGCAGTAACAAATATTTTCAAAAGTTAATTTACATCAGATTACTGCCCAACTGCCTTCAGAGTTTGTGATGTCATTCTACTTAACGGCAGCATTTGTTAAGGCAAATTCCAGATACATCAAAATAATCTAACATATTAGACATTTATTAAAAGACGCGGAACAAAAATATGTTACCGTACCTCTTAGGCATGATTATAGTTTTGGGCCTTGGTAATCCACTTTCCAGCTAAACAGCATTTTTTCCCAATTTTAAGTGTCTTCAGCACATTCAGAAATTTAACTTCTACTTTTCTGCCTTTTGCGACTATTTTATTCAACTAAATGTGTAGTCAAAGGAGAAAAGTAGCACCGAAACTTCAAGTCGGGACTGATCGAACTGAGGGAATTTGTGACCAACACGTGGCTGATCATCCTCTCCGCTTATCTTGCATATAAAGAGGACACTATTTAAACTTGCCCGTGAGTCGATTGTTTTGACCACAAAGCCCTTTACACAATTTGACCTTAACTGTCTACGTGCTAATAAGTTCAGCGAACCCTCATACACTTCAAGGCCTGCTCAGTATCGAATACTCGCTAGTCTCTTCTGAAACTAACTACATGAGCTCTTAATGGAAGGCCCATATTAATGGAGTGGAGAGGTAATCTAATGGCAGGAAGTGTAAAAAACTTCTGAATGCTCTTTTATACCAGTCACTTTTATAGATAAACGATTGTGTTGCAAAAAAGAGATTAGATGCAGATTTTCGCACACCATCCAATAAAAGAGCTAGTGTCTTCTTGAGGTTGTACGAATTCATTGAATAACCTAAACATGACAATCAACAGAATCAGAAATTATTCAGAAGATTTTTAAAGAATCATGTATCCTATCTTTTCTTCCAATTGTTACTCGAGAGATGTTGGCAAATTTGGCATAAATTTTGCTGTAACCCAGATAAAGCCTCATCTATTTTTTCCTTGGGATAAAAAATATCATACTGGCTGCTACGAACTCGATTTGAGAGACCATATGTTTCTTTGAGAAATCTGAGCATAAGTTTAGGGCGTAGGCTTTAGGAAAAAAATTGCTGCACTATTTTTTTTGCCCAAGACAGTGGTTTGTGATGAGTGATAGGAAAAAAATATTCCTAACTTCAAAATGCCAAACAGGTGAGTTTTTCCTGTTTCGATAGAATTGGCTCTATTCTCCAATTATACGCATTATCAAGCTCAAGTTTTGGACCCCTCATTTACATTGTAATTGAATATAAAAAATACGATAGAAAAGAAAAAAGGTTGACTTCGATTTCAACCAATTGTTGACCATATGATTAAATCTCGAAAGAGCGTTCGTTTACAAACGAAGTGGACGACATTCCACGGCAATCCCACACAGGAAGTTAGTTTGCTTTTGAAGTCCTTTCTAGTTTGACAATGGCATAGAGGTCACTTTGAGGGTATTTTTGCTAATTTGAGGTTCATAAACTAGTCATATAAATACTTTAAAATAATTTAGTCTATCAACATAGAACACGATAAATGAATTGTAAGAGCACATGGGATGTCCTTGGGTATCCTTGCAGTTTGTATCTTAGGTGTATCAGTTATCCATTAATTTTTTCCATAGTTGACCTACCATCCTAGATTATAAAAGGGGTTTCGAATAAATGTGGACTATTTCTGCCTATTTTGAGCCATATATACTTATGTGTGTGTAGGTGTAAATAAGACTGTCAAGATCCTCTGTTAAAGCTTCCAGTGAAGTCTAATGGAACATGCAACTAATCTGGCAATGTCTGGACCTGTCCTTTCATATGGTGCGGGTTGTTATACCATCACTTGACAAATCATTACTTTGTGCATAACATAACGTTGAGATGTGAGGATATTGCACGAGTGTCTGCGAGACTTACATATTTAACCGCTGAGACCCTCACCACACTTTCGAAGTTATATTTCACTTTAAATGATTTAAAATACATAAGGATTATTCGTGTCTTGCAAATAGCCACTGTTCAACTTATCTTAAATTTTGCATGTCATTTGCCCCAAAAGGAGATTTAATTTTGCATGTGACAATTTAAGCACCGATGTTACCGCCATATTTTTCATCGTGACCAAGCCGGAATATAAAGGGACTACAAATCATGTGGACTATTCGACACACGTCCTAACTGCGCTTAAGAAAAGACGGTAATAAATCGCCTTAGTCTTGACTCAGAGTAAATTGTTTTTGCTACCACTCCCGTATCTCACTTCATTAGCTGAGTCTAAGCCTACCTATGGAAGCTTATATCTGTGCATTCACGAAATTTACTACAGAATAAGGAAAGCTCGTTAAATTTTTGAGAGTAAGCACATTCTAGGAAGTAAAATAATGTGCCCACAAATATTGCAGGTATGAACATGAAATTCTATTTGGGACCCTCTATCTACCAAAGTTAAAATATTCAAGATGATCTATATTGGTTACCTTCTCTTCAACCATCAGTCTGTGAAATAGGGAATGGGTTTAATGACCTCCATGTGGGATGAGACCACTCTTATGTTAGCATAAAATGAAGTCTTGATCACGTTTTTTCCCAGAATGTTAACCCACTTGGTGTTGGATGCCAGCAAGGCGTATGTTGTCGCACTTTGTGACGCCAAGCCGCGTGATGTTTCGTACTTCCCTCGGTGATCGCAGTTAAAGCATGGTAATGATAAAGCGCGAGAACTTACTCTCGTCGCTGGTTTTGCTTGCTCTTGAGTCGTCTATTCATGCTGAATTTGCTGATTGGCTGCGGGCGCCAGGTTCTCTTGCTCAGTCGCACACCGTCACCATGTAATCAATCGAGGTTTTACCTCAGAATACCTGCTATGCTACGTATGTTTGTGTATCGGGGCTCCTATTAAACCATTACTTATTGGTTCTCTTATTTGTGTGACCCTGTTTACAATAGTAGATTTCTTGTTAACTAGCTATAACTATTTATGTTGATCATGGCCGGTGCATAAGTAGTCAAAATGTTTTCCGCTGTCCTCTTTACGTTGACTGGATTATTAAAACGAGGAAATGATGTTACAAAATCATTATGGTATTGAATGAATACCCGTGTTGTATAGCGTAATACAAAAACCCCGTACTAATAAACAGGTCGAAGTATTGCGTTTGCACAGATTTACCCTTTCTTTTTACTATCCCCTTAGGAGGGGTTGGTTTTTGTGAATAATCCTTAATAATTATGGTACATGTCGTGTTGTGAATAGAAGTAGTTAGCACTTTACTCAAATGTTATTGTTATTTTTGACAATTTTTAGGTCTATACAATTAAATTACCACACCTCGACTACTGATAACCATAGAACCATCTTGTCCTTATATGAACGATAATTAAATAATAGCTTGCATTCAGTGTTTGACTCCATGCGACACTGCTCATTTCCATGAGAATTTAATTTCCATCACCTCTATTTGCCTCGTATCGCGATGGTATTTTAATTAGTAAAATTATCAGGATATAAAGGGTCGACTAGTGGTAGTTCATTTACTCTTGTAAATATGACAAAAATGTATCGGGTTTGCACATAAGGATGTCATAATTCACGGATTTAAAAGACACCATTTCAACGAAATTTAACTTTCAGAGGTACTTGTATGGTCAGTCAGTGTGAGCCTTCTCCTTCAGTTGACATCGCGGGTGCGTGCCGAGCCGAGTATCACCCTACAACCAGTTCGGCTGCCGAACGGAAACGTCGAGCTGCAGTGCACCGCAAGTGGAGACCATGTTGACACCGCAATGATTCGCCTCGGTTGTGACATCAGAAGTAGCAAAGTATGCAGAGAAAACTGCACTCTGATTTGCCCTCTCATTGATGGTAAGATGTGGTCAGGCACATTTTGAGTACTATCAATGCAATAGGGTTGTGTGCATCCTTCTATAGAGAGATTTTTATGCTGGAGTGTGGTATTTGCTGACCTGGTCATGATTCTGTAAGGTGGCGCAATGGTCTTGAATGATTTTGGAAGATTCATTTAATTTAATGTAAAATGACTTAAAGTATGCCATACGAATTAAGTAAAATTTTTGGCTAGTGCCAAAAACTTTCCTAAATAGAGCCAGCCTAAAATTGCTTTATTTTGGCGGCAAACTTTTGTATTGTTTAAACCACCTTTGTATTCAAATGCGGAATTATGAAAATGCAGATTAACTTTACTATTATTATCGGAAAGTTGGATTTGTGAGCAATCGCACTTTACTTGGTTGTAAATTTAATAACTATTACTCCGAAGTCTTTATAGAATTGGAAATTTTAGCAATTCTATGAGTTTTTGCATGCTGCCTATCCACTGACGTTTTATGATCCAGTAAAGCGGAAAATTAATAAGTTCAGTTTTGTCCCTAAGTAAGTTTAATAAGGAAACTCACCATCAAACTCATCGCCTGGTCCCTCAAGTATAAACTTCGTTCACTGAAAGGTCACAAGCAGCAAGATCCCAAAAAGTGCAAAAACGGGAGTTCAAAAGTTGGGCAGGTGAAATACCCTCATATTGTTTGCGATCGACCAATCAAAGCACACCTTAGCTGCACCTTCATAATCGAGTCACGATGAGGTCACAAATTTTGCTTAGTAGAAAGCGAAGACGATTCACCAGACTCACGAAATGCGCAACGTGAATGCAACACTGCTGTAGAAAATGTAATTTGTCATTGTTGAATTTTACCTGCTTGTTAGTGTAGATGGTAGAAATACAACACCAGACAAGGAAATGCAATGTGGCTCAGTGTGAGAACTAACTCTGTACCAAATTTAGGTAGGCTTAGGAGCTCACTCACATTTGTTAACACAGTTGTATCACTGGCATCGTGAAAAGCAAAAGTTAATGGTATTCAGTACGTCTTTAATGATCCAATAACGTCCGGAATTTCAGTGGAATGTTTCATGCTCAGAACCAAAGTATTTACAGAAACAGTAAGAAACGTGTTAATCATACTTACAAATCAACAGGACCCTTCTGTTTCGGTGTCTTTAAATGTAGAGCTTTACTGGCAGCTTTGTATTTTACTTTTTCATTGGCGACACTGTCTTTAATGATGTTGAAATAACAATTAAATGTGGAATTCATTTTCTTCAGTCCTATCTTGAGGCCTTGCTTTCCGTAGTGTCACGAGTTTTCATTTAGTCTCCAGTCTTCGTTGTGGCTCGAATTCAAACCTTCTGTGTTACAGTGTCACACCATCTCCGTATGTACACACGCACACACCCCTCACTTTACCTCCTATAAGACGTGATATTTTGGTGTTGCATTGGGTGGCCTCCTTGTGGAATGTGCAGTGTGAGGGCCGAGCGCAGATGGTCTTTGCCAGTCGTGGATAGTGCATTATCAGCTCTTTGGAGACCGAGACGTCAGCAGTCAATGAAATAACACAGCCACTTATTACTCATATTTTGCTCTTTCTGAGTTACTAATTTAGTTTAATATATCTAAAAATTTGTATAAGTTTAAGCAAATAATGGAAACGATTTTGACAAAATACTCAGCTAGAAATTATTTTTGGAATCCTTGCTGCCCCTTACATTTTACCAAGCATAAAATAACGATCTATGACGCAAGATTATAGTAAAGGGTTGGTTTTGATGTATGTATTGTACATTCTATGAGTTATTAACACTCGGAACGCATTGAAAGCCTTCAGCTGTAGTTTCACTTGTTCGAAATTTCTTATATGACAAGTGCCTTTCACTATCCACCAACCTACTACACCAGGTACGCATCAATCGAACCTTTTGTACAAATACATGCGTTGTCAACGAAATTTAACATGCTTTAATGAACTCGTGAGTTGGAGCCGACTAAGCCCTCACAAATATCAAGAGCATTAAAATCATATAAGGGATCCTCTGGAAATTATAGCCTTTCATTCGTTTCCGCCTGACTGAATGCTTCACACTGAGTAACTGGCTAGTGTTTGGTATGACAATCATTCCAGCTACTTCAATTAAACATTTTTTACTGTACTGTGCAAAGATGCTGTCAGCAGAGAAGCTTCTGGCGATTTTTGCCAACAAATTTCAGTTTCATCTTCCTTTATAAGTTGTTTCTTATATTCGTTCTCACCCCTTACTTTTGAAATGTTCATCCTACTTTAGATATTTGTTGAATTCCTAAATTATAGAATTTAACTGGTTTTATTTCTAACTATGTAAGCTTAACTAAAATATTGCTACAATGTTTGGGGTTTTAACTGGTGACGTCCTGAATGGAACGATAAAATAAACCAAACTTCCGTTAGTCAAATTTCTTGTAATTTCTCGTAATTTATTGCTCTTCCATAGTTAACTGAGCTAATCTGCCAGAAGGAAAAGCCTTCTTTCACCCAACTTAACTCATTCAAAGCCAACAAATGCATTCGCTACTGAATTCATTCAGGTCATCCGAATTGCACGAGGATATCTGATGACGGGGTCACCAGTTGTCGATATAGCCGTTCCTCAGAGTCTACTGCTAGAGTCGTCTACGAGTTGGGATGGGCATCAGCTAATACCAGAGTAAATTTTTGGTGTATTTACGGTGGCAAGAGCTCTCCCATCTTCACTCACACACCTCTCAAGAAGAAATCGGGTCGAGCAGGGGCCCTTTCCAGGCCTAAAAAACTCAAATCTACGCGACAGGCAAAGGAATTAGAACATCCGGACCCAGGTGGCGATGCGGCCAAGTTGCGTGAGTCGATGTCAGTCTTTTGTGCATCAAAGTACATCCATATACAACACTGACAGAAATGACACGAAAGCAATATAGTTTAAATTGTCTCGGCTTCGATATACTTTGATAAGAAGGATGGAATCAATTCTCGATTCGTCAAACCAAATTTCTTTACAATCAGCTTAAAAATGAGTTGTTTTTAACTAAATTGAGCAAACTTTTTAAATTATTTATAGCTATATTACCGCTCTTCAATAAACGTAGTGGTCCATTGCTTGACCAAAGGCTAGCCTAGTTTTCAGAAGCTAGGTATATCTTAATGAGCAAATGTACTCAGTGCAGGCGACCCGCCGAATTAGCTCTCCCTCGAGCTTAAAATCACAAGCCATTCGAGACTGCGTTTTTGAATCCTTTTCAGAGATGCACTTTACTGCAGAAGTCGTCTTCATCATCACAATTTGTACAATCGGGTCTTGTTTGCTGAATTTGGTTTTCTGTGTCTGTTGCCAAATGTCAAGGCGATACTTAAGTAAGTTCACTTTCTTGAAGATCAGTTTTTATGGTCAGCTCCATAAACTTTCGACAAAATGGTCCATTTTTATGTTTCTGCTCGGTGTATCACATAGACTACGGGATAGTTGCTTCAGAAAGCTAGATAAAGAGGTTTTTAAAGTTCTTCGAGCATGTCATAGCACAGTCCTCTAGTATTTTTTCAAATTCGCTACCAAACTTTTGCTGTGCTGAGAATGGTTAGCATAATTGAGAGGCGTCGTTCGATCTTGGAAGGTGGACATCTATTATCACACTAGTGATAATAATTACTGCTTCTTGAGTGCTGCTTTCACCCGCCTTCATCCCTTGGATAAATAGTTCACATGAATTAAGCGTCACCAGAAATAATGGAGCTAGAGCTTTTACTCCACTATAGCAGAAGGCAAAGGAAATATAAAGTTCCATTAATATTAAAATCATTTTTAGTGCAGTCATTATCGTGCACAAAATATTCTAAATTGTTTAGTCATTCCACTGAAATAAAGATAGATTCCAATTTTATGTAAAATACAATCTTTATTTGCTGTAAACTACACTTTCTAGTGTATTTCATCCATAGAATGTAAAATTAAGTGAATATAATGAGGCCTACCAAAGTTCGACGATGTTCGACACTAAAGAAGCTGTTAAATATTGCTGAATTCATTGAATTTTTTTGGTCAAATGGGAATTAAACCTGCTCCGTGTTTTGACAAGAAGTCGGATATCAACCATAATGACCAACGTAAGGATATGTTTTTGACTGTGAATAGCTGTGGCTAATTGGTAAAACAATAACTTAGCACACAATCCATTAGTGGTAGCAGAAACTTGACTTTTATTAATAGGCTTCGTATTTGAAGTTTATTACGATTATTTGACTCATGAATTTTTATAGCATGAAATTAGTGATTTACAGAGCTGACTCTCCAACTTCTATTTCAATAAGTTGATTCATAGACAAAGTGGGAATGTGTGTGATGTTGGCCGAAGGTTCTCAAAACTTTTTTAATACCTTGAATCTGCTTATCCCATCCACACGATCTTTGAGATTTTCAGAACTCCCTAACATGGCAGCTCTGGAAACACGCTTCGCATCCCATATCTTCCTGGATGCCTTTACTTGCTGTATATCTTAATGGGATGGTTATGTAACACTGTGTTGGTATGATTTTTTGAACCATTACTAATAAAATGTTCCTAGCTAGATCAGCATCAATGCCTCTGACTGCCAGATCAGAGATGACGGTAGCCTAAGTGCAGTCGCCTGACGTGGTGGAATTGTTCTCTGATCCCTCAATTGAGCACGGCAGATCCTACGAGAGGGGCAATTTTGCGGTCCCACTAATACAATGCGTTCATGTACTGAGTAGGCATTTTAAAGGCGATAAACGGAATTATCGGGCACCGAACGGCTGTTCGGGGCTAGCGTCATTCGTGCCGGCAGCCATATCTGCCAAAGTAGATCAGTGGTTAGTAAAATATTTCTTGCCTCGAACTGGTAATTTGCTGAAGTAGTTTAGCGTTCAGTCTGAAGGGAAATGTAAATTGCAACTACTAAATTTTGAGCCCTAAAATCTATGTATTGGCTTTAGGCACAGCTACAAATGCATTCTGACAGTTTATAAAATGAGCCCGAATATCAATGTGCTGTCATTTCAGAAACAGCACATATGCTACTCAGAGTAAATAAGGTGGCATGTGGAGTGTGAAATCCTTGATAGGACCGTTGCTTACTAAGTATTACATCAAATTTAGAAGTCCAGGTTATTTGAACAATGTAGCTGAGTAGAATCACAGATAATTAAATTTTACACAGTGAATATTCGCGATATTATCTAAAAGAAAGGAGGAAACGAGAATACCATCTGCGCAATCGAGAGTATAAGAGCAAATCTAAAGAAATCGGGAATAAAAAGTTCCATTTTTTGGTACTTTGTGTTGATTTATATAAGTGTAGGTCCAAAGGGCTGAATGGGGCTATTATACTTCATAAATATCAAGATCTATATGTGTATGTGTATGGTTGAATTAGCGATGACTTGAGTAATTGTTAAGTAGCCATCAACCGAAAAAACTAATTTATTGCCTTTATTATCCGTTCATTGTCAACTGGTATTTTTATTGTGCGGTATCTTCAATGGGTTCACTCCCTCTCTAGCGAGTTTGAGTTGGCTAAATTTCCCAAGCGTGGATCCCAGTGGACAATAAAACCTCATGCAAAACAGCGAGATGAAAAGTGCAGTTTTTCTTATCAGGGGAGAATCAAACACAGCCTGAAAGTGCCCACTCGCTGACTTACAAATATCCTAACATTGTTTTTCTCCTATAAAACATGATGAAACTCCTTACTTTTTTTCCTATTTTTCGTTTAATATTTGAATTTTGGGGAAATATTAGTATTGAATGAATGGATTAAAGTAAAAAAGCCTTGTGAAACGTACTGATCGACTTCCTTAAATACAAATTAGCACCAATCTGAGTTTGGCTATTCTTCTGACTAATGGCCCGATAGAACTTCTAGTAAATGGATTGGCACATCTCGCCACCTTAATGCGTGTTGCTCCAATTAGTTAGCTTGAGAAGCTGGATGAAAACGTTAGCGTCCCAAAATTAATCACATAACTTTATATGTAATCTTTAAGCATAAAACAAAAAAGTCCTGCATGTATTCACTCCCGGTAGCTTTGAACAAGACGTGTAATTGTATTAACTTTGAAAAGCAGCAACCATGTATCAGTTAGGCTTTGCATTTAGAGGAACCTTAGTTTTTTAATTAGCTTATAATAGATTCACAATGCGATCATGTAAAAAATGCGTCAAAGTATGATAATCGACAGAAGAAACCACAGAAACACTTCAAGCAAAACTCAGAGAGTAATTCTGCTTCAAATCAACTAACCTCGTAGTTCCTTCCCATGGATGTTAGCAATGTAACGGATAACTTACAAAAAAATGCGCTTTCACAAATTCCTAGAGGGACTGGCTAAGGGCGGTCCTCGAAATTCGGCAACAGAGACGTGCCTCTGTTTAAAGAGCCTCGCCGAAACCTACCGCCCTCGTCGCATTGGCTTCACTAGAGGTGGCTATCGCAAGGGCGGCAGTTTTGGTGTTGATATTGTTAGTGAAGGTGGTAGAAGCAGTGCGCAATGGAGAAGAATGGCAGCACAAGAGAGCTTCAAACTCCCCTTGACCGAGCCGATGCCGCGACGCAAGCCCTTCACTGCTCTAACCTACTTCCCATCCTACCACCACGAGCCGCTGTGCCCTCCCTCTAACCCACCCCAACCGTCGCTCGACGAAGTCATCTACGACGACGTTCACCAATCCACAGTCTACCTAAATAAAGGCGATTTAGCTTCGCAGCAGGTGAGTTTTGTCATGGATCTTCTCGCTCACTTGATTAATAGCCCTGTTACTAAGGTCGAATAGTACCGCCTTTGTGATAAAATGACAGCTTTTAAGTGTTATATACATAATATCATTACCATTTCCTTTCTCTTCTTTCAATTTCTAGCAGTTTTTTAG